TCTCCAGTAGTTCTCTGTTTCTCTTGAACTGAGGGGCCAAGAACTGTACACAGGACTCCAGATGTGGCCTCACCAGAGGGCAGAGTAGAGGGGGAGAATAACCTCCCCTGACCTGCTGGCTACACTCTTATTGATACACCCCAGGATACCATTGGCCTTCTTGGCCACAAGAACACATGGCTGGTTCGTAGCCAATTTGTTGTCTACCACAACTCTGGGTCCTTCTCCGCAGAGCTGCTCTCCAGCATGTCGACCCCCAGCCTGTACTGGTGCACAGGGTTATTCCTCCCCAGGTGCAGGACCCTACACTTGCCCTTGTTGAACTTCATCAGGTTCCTCTCTGCCCAGCTCTCCAGCCTGTCCAGGCCTTGCTGAATGGCAGCACAGCCTTCTGGTGCGTCAGCCACTCCTCCCAGTTTTGTATCCTCAGCAAACTTGCTGAGGGTGCACTCTGTCCCTTCATCTAGGTCATTGATGGATGTGTTGAACAAGACCAGACCCAGTACTGACCCCTGGGGAACACCACTAGTCACAAGCCTCCAACTGGACTTTGCTCACTGATCACAACTCTCTGAGCTCCGTCCTTCAGCCAGTTCTCAATCAACCTCACTGTCCACTCATCTATCCCACACTTCCTAAGCTTCCCTATGAGGATGTGGTGGGAGACAGTGTCAAAAGCCTTGCTGAAGTCAAGGTAGACAACATCCACTGCTCTCCCCTTATCTACTCAGAGTCATGCCATCATAGAAGGCTATCAGATGCTCAGAGATAACTTTCGTTTCCTCTTCTGGGCTATTTGTGAATGCATGAAAAGTAGTTTGTGGATTCTAAAAACTGCTGGGTATCGTTCAGTCATTCAAAGATTTTATTTTTAGAAATAATCAGTGGATTTAGCAAGTATTTGGGAACTAAGGCAATGCCCAACCACAGCAGAAGGAAAGTTTTGTTACTAGCTACAGTAGTAATTACGTCAGCTTTGTGGTCGTTTCTTTTCGGGGGACTCACTTTTGCTGTCACTGAGCAGGAATATCACGCTGCCGTCAAATGTCCAAAAATATGTGCTTTATGTCTCATATTGATGATAAAATAGCTTTTTTTTCCTGTTTGTTTAAGAATTTTCTGGAATCATCTGGAAAGTAAATTCAGCTTGTGATTTTTTTTTTTGTGGTTAACTTTAGCTTTGATTTTTGTTCTTTTAGGAAGCTGTCATTGCAAATGGTACCATTGCTTTTGAAAATTGGCTTGTGCCAGGAAGTTCAGTTTATAGGGAATTTTGGATTTTCCATGTGCAAAATCCTTCAGAGGTATTAGAGCAAGGAGCACGTCCAATACTTGAACAGAGAGGACCTTATACATACAGGTAAGCAAACTACCCTAAATATGTGACCGGTCATATCAGAAATTTTGTTAAAATCAGAGAAAGTTCTGCTGAGTTCAAATTTGTTTTTTAAATTCCAGTGTTGTATTTTAGTCAGATTTGACAAAAATGCAGAAGTTGCAGCTACACACAGCAATCACAAACACTTTCTGGTAGGTCTCACATCGGGAAATCGCATGTAGAAATAGGTAATAGGGTGTGAAGCTATTTGCTCTTGTGAAAACCAATTGCTCTTTAGCAAGGAGATTGCCACAACAACACACAGGCACAGTTGCATTTGTTGCTGTTCAATTTTTGCCAACTTTTTACATAGAAGAAAATGTGCCAGATGCCCTAAAACCAACAGCATATCTTATCACCCATGTACCACTCATAATTATTTTAATAATATATTTTGTTTCTTTGTTCCTTTATGACTTATTTTTAACCTATAGCTTTTCCTTTTTCATTTTTTTTTTCCTCTGAAAAGCATTCTGTTTTCTGAAGTACTATCTAGGGCCTAGATGCAGCAGTCCATCCCCATTCAGGGTGATGATGTTTAATAATTTGCTTAATTTTAAATGCGATATTGACATAGGACTAGTTGGTGCTTCTTGGGTCATCAAGCCCAACATCCAGCTGTCACTGGCACACTTGTTATGAAATTGCTTTCCTAAAGTGATATCTTTCAGGATATTTTTGGGGTTGTATATTACGTTCACAAGATGGTTTTGCATTGCAGCATCTACAGCTGAGGTTCTTTGATACCTAAAAGATTATTTATTTCTCATTGGAAACAGAGAACTCTTGGTTCATATAATACCTGGGAAGACATAGGAAATGGTGACACAGGAATCAGGAAACTAACCAGTTGAGAAATGCTGCAGAAGGTGAATTATCACCAAACAGAAATGTTTTACTCTGGTGGTGATGTTGCCTATTTTCTCAGGGACAAATCTCTGCCAGAAGCCTAGATGAGACCATGTGAGAAATGATGACTGTAAGTCTTCTCACTGCTGAGGTCATGCTCACTTGGGATATTGGGTCTCCCTGAATCACTGTGATACTGAGTCTCTCTCTCTCAATCTCCCTTTCAATGTTTAATTACTTGTTACAACATAGAACAACTGGCCTTGAAAATGCAACTGTCCCCATGATTCTGTTAGGAAACCTTCTTTTAGGTCTTTTATTTCCAGTTAGAAGTAAAAGTAATTAGAAAAAAAAAATCTCCCAACTTTCAGGTAGGTGCTCTACCCATTAGGCTATTAAATAAAATGTCATGCATAGAAACCAATCTTGAGAAGCCAAGCCCCAGCTGCTCTTGGGGTAAGGCCCCCCTGCACTGGCTACATCTGTACCATGGTGAAGTGGTCTCTGAACCTTTTGGTTGCCCCATGCCCAGGCTGGAAGATCTGATGGAATACCCTGAAGATCTCTTCTGAGATGGATCTGAGACAAGCTTTGTTGACCCACAGCATAGACTAAGTCATATGATGCAGGTCAGAGATTTATACCTTAGTGATCTGTTGACAGGGCGTGCTAGAGAGGATTATGAGAATCTCAGGGAGCTGAAAGACTGCTTATAAATCTCCACATGCATATGAAAGGTTATCACAGTGACTCCCATGATAGACTTAACCTGTAATCTGTTTTGTTGCAACACAGGCCTATCAAATCAAAACTTAAGAGTGTTTATTAACCACTTTGAGTCATCCACTTCTAACTACATGCAACCGCAAGAAATCTTAGAAAAAAATGTAACAAAACATAATTAATTTAAAATAAAACATAAAAAGATACAAGGTCCATTATTGAAATAAAAAATAAAAAAAGAAATAGTTGTTTTCATTTTAATATTAAGAAAAAAAATTCCATTAGGCGCTAAGGAAATATTTCCAAAAGAAAAATAGAAAAATATTTTACAGAAAATGGAATTTTTACATATATTCACATGAAAAGTTTAGAATCCTTTCAGTGGTTATAACATATTCAACATTCGTCAATAAAAATATTAATCAACTTTTCAAAAAACTTCAGTCAGGTAACATTATGTATTATCTTGAAAATCAAATGTTAAAAATATTCTATGCTTTTATTTTTTATTTCAAGGGTGAGATATTTGCCCAAAGAAAATATCACAGAAAACTCTGATGGCACAATATCCTATATGCTGCCTAACATTGCTCGTTTTGAACCCGATATGTCTGTTGGGACAGAAAATGATACCATCACATGCCTCAACCTTGCTGTCGTTGTAAGTAAAGAAACAAAACCATAATGTCCACATTCAAATGTTGAGATACTGGAGGAAATAGGGGAGAAGTTAACATTAGTAATAATGAATCTGCCACAGGATAGGTTTCCTCTCTATGAACTCAGATGACATAAGTGTCAGATACACTGAGGATAGCTGTATTACTGTCTTTAAAGTAAAAAAAAAAATATTCTGAGGACATATTGCACATATATTAAGGTTTCCTTATATTCCCAGAGTAATGAAAATTGATTTGTTCCTGCCAGTGGAAGTAAAGTCATCAGTTTGGATGGGATGTATCAAAAAACATCCTCCTAGTCAATTTTAGTGTGGGAATGAATCAAGAGTTTGTGGATCGATTCCCTTCCCGCGTGAGGTACAGTGTGAACAGTACATGATGGATTTGCCATACTCTTTCCATAATATCCTCAGTCCTGCTTTGCAGAGGAGATTGTATTAAATCTCATGCTCGGTGTATGCATGGCCTCACTGCCCTAGCTGCTTCCTCCACATGGTGTCCCTCAGCACCACTGCAATGGCATCCCCTGAGCTCTCCTGTCCCACTGTGACCTTAGCCCTTCAAAGAAAAGCACAGGGGTCCCCACCTAGAGTAGTGCTAGAGCCTTTTCAGTCCACATATTTTTGTGTTGTCACAAGCTGAGATTGTTTGTCCTTGAGTGACATTTACAGTTTTCATATTTATATTCAGCCCTGGTTGTTTTGCCTGACTGTCTTGCACTATCTCTGTGATGTCTGTGTGTGAGTGTTCAAGATCACTGTGAGGCTGGGTGCTAGGTGAAGAGTAAAGAGGCACCTGGTGTTAACACATTGTAGAATCGTAGAATTAGTCACAGAATCACAGAAACCCCCTGTTGGTAGGTACCTCAAAAGATCATCTGATCCAATCTTTTCTGAGAAAACGAGGCTAGGTGAGATTTTCTAGCACCCTGTCCAATTGCACCTTGAAAACTTCCAGTGATGGGGACTCTACGACATTTCAGTGATTGGCTGTTCTCTTTCTTGTATCGAGACGAAACCTTTCCTGGTGCAACTTGTATCCATTGCCCTTTGTCCTCTCCGTGTCACTCCTTGTGAAGAAAGAGCCTCCATTCTCCTTGTAGCCACCCTTTATGTACTGGAATATTGTAATGAGGTCCTCCCCCTGAGCTTTCTTTTCTCTAGGGAGAAAAGACCTAATAAATAAGGCAGATGATCTTATTCAGACCAGATGTATTCTGCCTGTGACTTGATTTAGGCCAGCATCTCTCTTTTGTAAAGCTGTTCTTGTTTCCTGTGCTCACAGTCATGTCACAGTATTAACTAACACTGCTCAGCTCCCACACTTTGGACCACGTAGCTCTTTATGGGTCTAAGCACAGGCTTATGCTTGGAAGCAACTGTCAGATGAGATGGAAACAGAGGATTCAAGCCCCATTTTGCCATTCAGAAACAAACTGGTGTATGCCTAAATTCCCAGAGAGGTTCTGACTTTCTTGTTTGACAGCACTGACTTCAATCCAGTAGAGTCTACCTTTTATATCATAACCTTGTCATCAAAATACTCACAAAAGAATTCGGAGAGATGTTTTTCATACTTTCTTAACCCTGAGGGGATTGAACCCACATCTTCTCTATCTCATGATCTTGTCATATGCACGCTTTTTTCTTAATCTGCGTTCAAGTTCAGACAAAAATAAAAGATTCATGGGGTTGAGGGGGAAGGAATGAGAGCAAAAGAGACTCTTCCATTGATATCCCCATGGCATTGAGTACAAAGAGATGTCCCACTAACAGGCCTAGACTGAGCACTTGCTCTAGGAGAATCACTTGCTTTTACACAGATTTACTTATCAAAATTATTACAATCTCCTTCTTCACCAGACAGGCTAACATAGATCGTTTCTGTTTGCTTTCCACAAGCTATTAATTGCTTCTAGGGACCTGGCTTTGTGTTTATGCCTCTGGGAACATTCATTACAATTACTGCTGGTAAATCTACATTATTCTTCATTGAATTAAGCAAAGTCATCCATTACATAGAATTAAAGCTGTTCAGAAAGAAGGACTTGTTTGTTGCAAATACATATTCTTTCTCAGTAATGAAATAATGGAGATTCAGCACTTGGTCAATTTTATACAGGGTACAGTTGTATTGGTGATAGCATAACAGCAAATCTAAACCACTTATCTAAGCCAATAAGTAACAAGCTTGTATATTTTTACTTAGAATCGTAGAATCACTAGGTTGGAAAAGACCTTTGCGATCATCAAGTCCAACCATCAAACCAACACCACCATGCCCACTAAACCATATCCCAAAGTGACACATCTACATGCTTTTTAAACACCTCCAAGGATGGTGACTCCACCACTTCCCTGGGCAGCCTGTTCCAATGTTTGACCATGCCTTCAGTGAAGAAAATCTTCCTAATATCCAGTCTAAATCTCCCCTGCCACAACTTGAGGCCATTTCATCTGTCTCTAGTTACTTCAGAGAAGAGACCAACACCCACCTCACTACAACCTGCTTTCAGGTAGTTCTAGAGAGCAACAAGGTCTCCCCTCGGCCTCCTTTTCTCTAGACTAAACAACCCAGTTCCCTCAACTGCTCCTCACAAGACCTGTTCTCCAGACCCTTCACCAGCTTCGTTGCCCTTCTCTGGACACACTCCAGCACCTCAATGTCCTTCTTGTATCGAGGGGCCCAAAACTCCACACAGTATTCGAGGTGTGGCCTCACCAGTGCTGAGTACAGCGGCACAATTACCTCCCTACTCCTGACACACTATTTCTGAGACACCCCAGGATGCTTTTGGCCTTCTTGGCCACCTGGGCACACCACTGGCTCATGTTCAGCTGGCTGTCAACCAGCACCCCCAGGTCCTTTTCCACCAGGCAGCTTTCCAACCACTCCTCCCCAAGCCTGTAGTGCTGCATGGGGTTGTTGTGACCCAAGTGCAGGACCCGGCACTTAAATCTCATACAATTGACCTCATAAACATACTTATATGCTTACAGTGTGAGTGAATCTGAAGTATGTGACATATGGAGATAACAGAAAAGAGGCAGAAAACTGGAAGTGGTATAACTTGTGTTATACAGATAGGGATTTGATATTATTGCTTGAGGATACTCAAAAGCCATCTGGCCATGGTCCTGGGCAACTGGCTGTCAGTGGCCCTGCTTGGGCAGGGAGGTTGGACCAGATGACCTCCAGAGGTCCCTTCTAATCTCAACTGTTCTGTGATTCTGTGATTAGGGGTGACAAAGTGAATTCATGTAAGTAGTAAAGACAAAATATCTGCTTTTGTGTAGTTATGACCAGTAATTTTTTTGTGAAGGAGTGTCAGTTTTAAGTAGAAATTTAACTTACAGTGAGCTGCAACTCTGGAAACCAGCTTTGCCGGAGATATCTTGGAGTTAGTCTCTCTGGTTTTGATCCAAAGCACATGCAGAATTTTATGCTAAACATTGATTTTATTGCTGTTGTAGGCTGCACCTGCCTTGTATACAAACACTTTTATACAACTACTATTAAACACTTGGATTAGATCTTCTAAGTCATCCATGCTGCAGAACAGAACAGTGAAAGAATTACTGTGGGGATACAAAGATCCCTTCTTAAACAAGGTCCCCTTCCCCTTGGACCCAGTTGTGGGAGTCTTCTACCCGGTGAGTGAAACCAATGAGGAGACAAATCCTTCAGTTGTTCTGTGAATAAAAATTAAGGCAGCTGCTGTGAGGAAAATAAAATATGACAATGCTACAGTCTGGCTCAGTACTTCTAACTGTTATTCCTTCTTGTGTCTGTTACAGTATAATGGGACATTGGACGGACTTTACAAAGTCTATACTGGGACAGAAGATATTAAAAAAACAGCAATAATTGAAAGCTATAAAAACAAAAGGTATCATAGCGTCGTATAGTTAAAATCTATACATCTTTTCAAGGTATGACTTTTAGGGCTTGATTCACTAAGAGCTACAGATAAATGTAAAATCTTCAACAATTCAAAGGAAGTTGGATCAAGCCCTGGGCTTAGCAAAAACACCTCTTTCTTTCAGCTATTAGTGATTCTGTTAGGAGCTTGGATTTAAGACAGTTATGGATTCTTTGATACAAGTAGTTACTTCTGTTTTGCATGCTTAAGTAGCTAGATCCCTTTTATCCTATTCTAATGCATCGTATAGTTTATTTGAATAAAAGAATGAATCTCTATCCTCTAACTTTGCTAATGGATCAGGTTTATACTGCGGCAGTTCTATTTAGCAATATAGGTAATGAAATGGATTACATGGTATAATATACTACATGCAGCATGACTTTTTTTTTATCTTAAAGGAATCTTTCATACTGGGAAGGTCACTGTGATTTGGTTAATGGCACAGGTGAGCCTATTAAAGCTTTCTAAAGATTCAGCACATTTCTTGATATTACAAGGGAATAATGAGATACAATATTTAAGTTAATTCCCCTGGGCTTTGACAGTTTTGTATTCTGTATATTAAACATCTATATAAATATGAATGCATCCATACCACTAATATTATACATGCATACGAGTGTATCTATTATAATATATATGTTATACATTATTGTAGGTTATTTTATGTATACATGTACACACACCCTCTTCAGCTAAGGTAGATATGGAAGAGACACAAGAAGAGAATCCAGATCTCTGTTTCTATTACAATGTAACTAAGATTCTTTTTCTTTGCTATAGCAGTTGAAAATTATCTTTGCATTCTAATAATGCTAATTTGTTTACAATGTTGAAAAATAAAATTAAATGCACCAGAACAGACAGAAAATTTTTTTACTAAGCTAGGAAAAAAAATTGAGGTGACAAGGGAGAAGGCTGTCAGACAGGTGGTTTGGAGGCCACTAGCAAGTGAAAAGGGGTGGAGAAGTAATTTAGTTTGGGATGAATAAACTAGAGGAGAATATTTTTGAGTTTGCTTCTGGAATGCATATGAAAACAGTTGATTTGTTTAAGATATATTTGTGCAAAATGATATTTTTCTTCATGAATGAAAATGTTGCTGTGAGGACACAAGAATCTTTTGAGCTGAGGCTGTCAGATGTCATGGTAGAGGCTTTTGCAGAGAGCTGTAGGCCTTCAGTAAGCGAGTATCAAAACAAGAAGGTTTTGGGTTGTTTTTTGGTTGATTGGTTGGTTGGGTGGGTTTTTTGTTGTTTTTGTTTTGTGGTTTTTTTTTTTTTCCTTTTCTGTGCTGTTTTACCTGGCGTAGATAATTTTCCTTATAACCTGGAGCACATGGCAAGTTATTTTTAAGTATTTCAAATACATCACAAGAATCTGGCTTCCCAAAAGTCTATGCATCAAGAAGGATTAGTTCCTTTTTAAAGTATGTATTATAGGAGGTGGTATTTTCTCAGATTTTGGGACTTGCCTTCTTTTTTATGGAGCTTGAACCCTTTTTTTCCCAGGGTTAGGATTTTTTTTTTTTAATTCATCCACAGCTGATGGAATAAACCTACTCAGCTAACTAGATGAAGTGCTCCAGTACAGTGAAAATGTGGAGCTTTTCCTTGTTAGCAAAGGTTATCGCATGGTTTACAAGAGCATTCAGTGTGACTGCGCAGGAAACACCATGCATTTAGAGAAGCAGCAGGTTTAAAAAGTCTTGTAAGTAAGCATGAGAATTCTTCCTTATCTTGTAAGCTTTCACACCAAAGCACAGCATATATAGTATAAGTAAATATCGAGATAAAAATATTAAGCAGCATTCTTGTATGAAGCTTGAAATGTGTCCGTGTTTGCAAAGTCTCCAAGACTGCCAAGACACAGTAATAGAGTGTGTGTCTAGGATGATCTTGGATTTTCTTTACGAAAAAGTGCTTCTGTCAGCAGTGGGCAAGTGGCAGTGTGTAATTTCTCTTTCTCACTCTTGCCAACTAGACTCAAAGATACCGCAGATGTTTTCAATCCCTTGATTATGGCTGCTGACTGAGAAATTGTAGCAAGAAGTAACAAATGTACTGGTTAAATCTTTGTTACAACACCTTGTTTGGGAAAATGTCAGAGTCCTCTTACTTAACTCTGGATGCTTGCAATGCAGAAATACGCATCTGAACTGTTTGCCTGTGTTCTTTCTGTAATGAGTGGAGGAAAATACACCACCAAAGTGCTATTACTTTGACCTATTTCACATGTCTACCGTGGGGTGAGATGAGTTGTGTCCTAAAAGTGCTTCCTTCTCTCCATTAGCTATAGAGAGGATCTCAGCTAACAAAGAAGAGGTCTGCTTGAGCAATCTTTGGTGAATAGATATTTAGCTCTGACTATTAAATAAGCAGTTTTGAAGTCTAAAGCTGTATTTCTTGTAAATGCGGAGTGCCTTAACTGCAGATGATCCAAGCACCTCTAGAAAGGTTTAGGCCTTTAGACTGCATAAACCCTGAGACAATGGCAAAAGGTATTGGAATTTGTATTAAGCAGGATTTTTTTTTTTTGTGTCGTCTGTTTTTAATGGCCTTGATCACATAGCTTCACATCTGCAGAAAAAAAGATTTTAAAAGTAGCTGTCATAATTTGACTTGCTTTCAAAAACATTTCAATCTTATCTGTGGAGTGCCTGCCACTGTGCAATAACTTACATAAATTTTTTCCCCATAAATGACTCATTTTGTTTACCTTTTTCACAGCTTTATATGAAAGCAACAGCTGAGTATTGATCTAAAAAAGAAATCATGTCTTCTAAGTGGAGTTGCTTTCAAGGTCTTATTTTATTTTGTTCACAGATGGAGCATCATTCCCACCATTTGTTGAGAAGGACCAGACACTGCGCTTCTTCTCCTCCGATATTTGCAGGTAGACTTGTCCCTTCCTGGTGTGTGTGCATAGCTGCGTGTGACACCCAAATGCTCTTTTGTTTCAGAGGGTGGCTGAAACATAAAGGTTTCACCTAAACACAAGCAAATTTGTGAGCTGTGGTCATGATTCAGAACCTGATTTTACCAGTTTTATTTATGTCAAGTAGAGAGCTATTTCCGGTGTATTTTATTTCAGCCAGTTACAGACGTATCATTCAGGAATATCTGACACTGTTGTGAGATGTTACAGATCTATGAAAGACATTGAAGTCCACAGAGTTCAAAGTCTTGAACTTCTTCTAAGATCAGGACCCAGCCTAAAACCTGCCTTATTTGGTCTTGGAAGGCAATAGGTACAGCAGGGGCCAGTTAGGCCTGTCTTCAGCATTTCTGCAGAACATCATCTATGCAGAACAGGATTTACTGTCATCCACTAGATATTCAAAATTGTTTTCTCACAGGATATTTTTACATTTTTTATTTTTATGTATTTACAAACAAACAAACTTGCTTAATAAATCACATACTGATGGCTTTTCAGCCTGCTGCTTCTGCTGTGGCTATCCAGTGTCCCTGAATTCTCCAGTGGGATCACTGCAAGCAATGTTAAAATATATAAAGTGCATCACAGTGTATTTACTTTGTGAGGTTCAACCTCTTCATTTATTTTGCTGCCTGGAAACAGCTGCTTCCTTTTAGCTAGGTTTAAAGTGGGCCATTTGCTTTGCAGACTGTTTTTAAAGATGAGTGTTTTTACATGAAGTTAAAGTTCTTTTTTTTTGTATGAAGTAATTGTATCCCCAAACTGGAAAGCACTTCACAGCTCATGGTAAAAGGAATCCTATGCAGAGGAGAAATGATAGAATTCTTTAGATCAATTGCACAAACTTTGAGACATCCCTCTGGCCATTTAATTCTAATAGTTAATAAATAATGAAAGTATCAGTCACCCAAAGGTCATGCTGAAACAGGGTCATGGAAAATGGTTCTGTCCATGTTGCAAAACCCAGAACTCTTCTTTTATTTGGCTGCAATACAAAGTGTTGCTGTCCTGGTTACATTACTGTGTAACAAGCATATCTCTCTATCAGTTGATAATGTATCAGCAAGAAGAAGCTTAAGTGGTATTCTGATTCATATGCAATGAAATAAAGTTAAATGCAGAATGTTGCCTACATCATAAAGATTAGATTAGTATCAAGTCAGCAAAAACCTATAGCAGAGCTGATTTACATTGATAAGTATCTCTACTGTAGTCCAAAACCTTTCAAAAATGTCATAATAACAGTGGGTGTAGAAGTGCATAGGGAAAAAGAGCTCTGAATTTGTTAGTTTTGTGTATATTGTTTATTATTAGTATTAGTATTTTTGTCTGGTTTTTTGTGTATTGTTGTGCTCACCTCTGAGCTTGTCCATCCTTTTGTGAAAGTGTGGATGTTCTCTGTTACAGAGGAACACCCCTGTAAACTGCTGAACAGTGTAGAGGAAGCCTGGACATTGGCTCCCTGGAGTACTTGTTTCTTTTAAGACAGAGGCGGTTGGGGGTTCCTTAAGCAGTGTTGCCATGAATTCAAATCTTTTAATCCAAATGACTGAGACACGTTTCTCCTCTTTCCTATTCAGATCAATCTACGGAGTTTTTCAGAGCAAGCAGGTTGTGAAGGGAATCTCACTCTATCGTTTCACAGTTCCTCGTGAAGCATTTGCATCACCTGCTGAAGTTGGAGATAATTATTGCTTCTGTAAAGATAAAACCATATCAAAGAACTGCACATTGGGTGGAGTCCTAGACATTAGTGCCTGCAAAGCAGGTATAGTAGTGACATGGTACTGCCAAACAAGCCATTTAACTGGGGAGAAAGCGTGTCCTGTAGCTGATGTGTACTCTAAGATCCAAGATGTTAGTGTTCGTGAATTCTTCCGCAGATTGCCTGTGAGACCTATCATGTTTCTGCAGCTGCATTTCCCAAAATGAGGACTATACTATTTCTGTATTTCGCATAGTGCTATGCAAAATCACAATACTACGGATTGTACACTGAAACTGCAGGAATGCAGGTCTAGAAGGGAAAGGAGAGGGCGCTGTACAAAAACCAGAGACAGTCACAGTCCTTGTGTTTGTGATAATTTACACACACAATGTGTGTGTGTGTGTGCACAACTATTGACACGTGCAGAGACTGAGAGACACTACTGGCTTAGTTTAGCATTGGTATAATAAAATATAATATATACAGGGTCTGCATTTCATGCAGAGCAGACAGCATGAGTTCCCTTCAGGCTTGTTTGCTACTAAAACAAGGTCATGAAGGTGGGGGAAACAGTGACAGTAAGGTCATCACCTCAGTGTGAAACTGGGAGTACTGCCAGCTCCACAGTGTAGAGACAGACAAGCAGGATTTCCAACTACAATTCATTTCACGATGCAAATTTTCCTCATGACAGCCAAATCACAGAAATGCTCAGATTTTTTGGGGGGATGGGACTATTAACATTTTTATTAGTATTGTGTGTCTATATAAAAAATTATGTTTGCGTGGAAAATGGCCTCAGAAGATGAGCACTGAAACAAGGCTTAATGATTCAAGTGAGCTTGTATTTCCAAATAGGAAGACCGGTATTTATCTCTCTGCCACATTTTCTTCATGCAAGTGAATCTATACTGCACGATGTTGAAGGCCTGAGCCCAAATGAGAATGAACACGAGACGTTTCTAGATATAGAGCCTGTAAGTCCAAATATTTAATAATCATAACACAAAAACTTGTGATGATTAAATGTAATTGTAGTGGAGTAGGCCTTTTACCAGAGGGATGAGCAGAAGATACAATATTTTCATGCTTGCTTTTGCAAGATCTGCTCACAAAAATCTTATGATTTTAGCAGAGTAGAACTTCTTCTCATTCTGACCTTCAAAGTTTGGAAAATAAGGTTTATTATTTCCTTATTGGGAATGTGGGATTAAATAGATTCTGCAAACTTTGAAGTAATCTGTAGCTTTTCTATGACCTTTAAATACTTGGAGAAAATTATTTTCTGTGAAAGTTCTTCTGTTTCCTCTAAATTTTTTTTCATTTTCTAGAACTAGCCATTTTTGTATAATTGCTATCCTAATTGAAATTAAATGGATATGGAGCAGTTTATTACCAATAAAATTGCTAGAAGTCTGAACAGCCTAGTCTAGAACAGACCTACCATAGCCTTTACAGCTTGGATTATCCAACAGAGCTCCCAAACTGAATAAGTTTACGACAGCTCTGATTTTGATTGCCTCCAATTTCACCTGTACTTCTGACCCAGTGATCCAGATTCTTAAATTTAAGTGTATTTACCAAGCTTTCTGATTGCATGATGAATTCTAAGGTTCCAAAATTTTATTTTGCTCCAAATTTGGATGAAAAGGTAAAATTCAGGATTTCTTACTGAAGTATTTTTAGTTATATAATTTAAGATAAGCTATGTAATATCAGTGAGGGAATCTAAAGTCAAATCTTTGTTTCACCTTATTTGGAATACAGACATCAACCAGAATTTCCTAAACCTGACATGAAATTTTCAACAATCACATCCTGTCTTGTTTTTGTGGAGGATGGAGGGGAAAAGAATGAGATAAGAAAACATCTGACGTTTTGTTTGATATGTTTGTTGTCATATGAAATGTTTGGGTTTGTCCTTATGCAAGTTAAACATCTTTCTTATTGAAAAAGAAAATTTAGCTAATTTCTGGGGGAAAAAACCCTAAACATATTTTTTGTATGAAACATTTCATGACTAATTTAGTACTTTTAACTTTTTTTTCCTTCAGTTTTAATTGCAAATTATGAAAGTAACTATGGTAAAACCAAAAAATACGAACTTCTATGAGAAATGGGACACCCTTAGAAACATTAAAATTTCATAAAAAATTGAATCCTTCAAAACATAAGGATAAAATAATACCAAAGTGCTTTTTGACACAGTCCATATTCTAGGTTTAGGCATCCAATTCAAAAATCTAAATTAATGTGTGTTTTTTTCTGGTTTTAGATCACTGGTTTTACACTACAATTTGCGAAAAGGCTGCAAGTAAACCTCCTTGTGCAACCTGCACCAAAAATTGAGTAAGTACTACTTCATTATTTTGTTTTTAAAGACTTTTTTCAAGAGGGCTGATTGGTCTACAAAAGCGTCAGTAGGGATGGCTGGGAAAAGAAGGAATAAAAATACTTTCCCAAAGCCTTTTAATCTTGCAGAAATTTCAGTCATGACTTTTCCGAGAACATAAATTTCATCAAAAGAGCAAGACTTCTTGAGCAAGTCACTGCCCAAGTATTTTAACACACACTTGATTTCCCCACAGAAGCTTACAAGGCAACATCTTAAAAATAGCATTCTTACAAAACCCAAATGGGGGCCATGAGGATGAACTGAAAGGCAAAATGTGTTTTCTGTAATAAACCCAATGAGAAAGAGAATTTATGCATGCTCTGTCACTGGATGGATTTTGTCACAAGGATTGATGGGTCTTTAGCTCTTTCTTTCATCTTCATTGACCCAAATGTACATGTACAGATGTGCATTTCAGGATCCTGCACACCTATCAGGTGAACACCACACAGATCTTCAGACTCTCCCACCAACACCTAGCTGTGTCCAGCCTTTCTTCTTTCTGACTACTTGCATATGGGAGTCTAGACAGAAAGAGATGGTTGCCCAATATGTAAAATGACTGTTATTAACTGTAGGCTTTTTTTTTTTTTTTTCAGTCCAAAACTATACTAAAAGGGTACATCTGGAAGGTAGAAATGTAGTTAGAGGAGAAGAAAAATGTTTAAGTAGAGACTGGGCTTACGCACCAAACGAAAGTTAACATGTTGTACTTATTTTATTTTCTCATTTCAGAGCTTTATCAAAAGTTCAAAAACCTTATATTTTTCCTCTTCTTTGGCTAAATGAGGTTAGTATATTTTCTGTATATTAATCTTCACTGTTTAAAAAAAAAAAAGAAAAAAACCCATGACCTAGCTTTTTCAGTCTTGGTGCCCTGAAGTTGGGCAATTAAATTCATGCTGTGATTTGTACATGCCAAGAATATATTCATCAAGTGAGGGCTTGCATACTTACCTTTCACTGACATTTTTCTTGCACTGTTTCAGTCTGCTGTTATCGGGGATGCAAAAGCAGAAATGTTCAGAAATAAAGTCACTAGTCGGGTCCAGATGCTAAGTGTGCTGCAGTTGGCCTTAATGATCGCAGGTTCTGTGCTGTTCGTCGCATTCATGGGTTCCTATTTCATATGCAGATCAAAGAAATTAAAATAAGTAAGTAAATACTAACGGCTCAGTCCTCAGCAGTAACTTTTCCTCAGGGTTTCAAGAAGTACCTCTTTTTCTGTTCTTACTTTTTAAGTGCTAGCAAATTCAGCAGTTGTTCTGTGGCAAATCATCCAGATAATTTAGCTAATGTTTCCAAATGCTCTTCTCAGCCTTAATCTTTCAGAATGCCCTTAACACAATCAGGAGAGGGTATTGGGAACCATGTCAGAAGACCAACATTATTTTCTTCCAAAACACAACATGATTGTTGGGAGTTTATGAAAATAAACATTTTATCCGAGACTGCTAAACTGTTCAAAAGTGTCCTCTAATACTTCTTTGGGAAAGAAGCCACACTGCTGCAGATTCCTGTACTCTTCCAGGACAAAACCCTGTCTGGGGTTCAGAGAACCCACTATAAATGACATTTTTTATTAGTGTTGGAAAGGGTTTCTCACTTCTCTTAGTTGTGCATCACTGTCATGTTAGTCTAAACATCCTCTGAACATACCTAGCCCATTAAGACTAAATATACTCCCATCATGGGTAGAATAACCAAGTGGTGGATTAATGCACTGACATCTAGGGAAACAAACACATTTCTGGAGTGAATGAAAAGAAGTGTAGAGACATGAATGCTATGCTGAAAAGTATGGTGTTGTAAAGAGACATTTTCCAGATGAAGACTTACCTCATGATATGTTGAATTCTGATTTTATTTCACTACAGGTAACAAAAGACTTCAGAGGTAGTCAATGTTTAAAAGAAATTTCAGCCAAGCAGCATGTTAAAATTCAGAGACAAAATATATGATTCAAGGCACAGTCAGTCCACATGCTATGGAATTCAACATGCTTTTCCATTTTGAGAAGACCAACTCACTAATCCAAACAAACTGATGTTTCCAAACGTCCACACTTCTGAAATCACTAAAGAGGCCACCATGAAAACTATGCTTTCAAATAACTGATTATTTGAGCCTTGTTACAAATTTTAAATGACGTGGAAGCAGACTGAAGTTGAGGTGCAGTTGGATTTTATTCAACCTTCTGCCATTTATGAAACTTGCTACTTTTTTTTTACTTGGGATTTGCAAGACATGTGAAAGCCATTTGCTGATGTTCTGTCTCTGAGCACAGGCTGGAAATGACAACACCTTTGAGCTCATGATGTACTCTAGATGCTCTCATTGCGATGTTTCTTTCTGTTCCTTCAAGGAATGGGAGCTGCTGCAATAGAACTGCTCTCTGTCCTCTATTCAAGGACTTGAATGGTGTTGAATGTGAAGTTTGTTACGTAAAGTTACTAACTATCATACATGAAGTTAATAAAAGACTTACTAAAATATGTGGTTTATGCATTTTATACGGAGCTGGCTCACAGACACACCACAGTCATTCATGTGTTTATTGAGCTCATCAACATTTGGCTCCACAGCTGTTTAGCAATCTGAACGACTCCCTAACTCGCAACGTGCTCCACTGCTCTTTCTGTTGCCTCTTGTGTGCCTTTCTTTCTGGCTTTTGCTTGAACACCAGCCTCTGCTCTGCCCTAACCCCACTTTGCCCAAGGCCTCCCTTAGAGAGCAGTCTGATATGTCACATTTAAGGTTAAGAGAAAACATTCCAGAGTGCTCCAGACACAGGAAAGACTGAGATAATGATTTTGATCAGAGGGTTCCACTTCCTTGCTATAGAAGAACATAAATGAAAACAGGTAGCCAGAATTCTTTATTGTTAAACCATCTGCCACAAGGAAATTTGTGCAACCATTTGTTTAATGAGGTGCATCGGCCTGTAGACAGGTAGCAAACACTGCCATCTGTGTAAATGGTTTACTTTTTCGTTTAATCTCAATGCCGTATCTTGGAAATGAGAGTCAATGGGGCAGATATTGAGTGTTGTGGGGTCTCTCCTTTTCCCATGGACTCATTGATTTCAGAAAGAGAGCCTAAATCCAGCACTTTCTAAGATTTCTTCTTGGCTCTTTTGTCCCCTTAAATAAGAGCTGCAGAGCAAAAGGAAAATCAAACATGGCCAGCCTCTCATAGCCTGGTGTTTGGAAATAATGCTATAATGGACTTTGAACTAGAAACGTTTGTCTTGCTAGTAAAGGACAGTATCTTTAGCCAGGTATCTTTAGTAAGGTGTTTTCACCTTATTAAAGGTGAAATAAAGGGAAAAACCCAACAAACTAAAATGTTGTTTTAATCCCATGTTCCTTATGGACAAAGTTGTGTAGCTATCAATAAAGCTGACGAATCACAGAAATCACAAGAGATTATTCTTGAAGGCAAGGTCTCTGTGGTACATGGCTACATGCTCTTTTTCCAGCCATGAGCTGGAAATGCAAAGTAACAGGGCAGGATAGATGAAGGAGGCATGACACTCAAGGGAAGCTCTGCTCTCACTTAGAGAGCCTGTGCATTTGATTACTCATGGTGCTTGCTAGTCAATGAAAAACAAGACCTTTCTATCATCTCTACATTATTGCTGGTGTCATATGTGATGCTCTGTTCCCATATTAGTCTGGGGACAGTTAGACACAACTGAAGGCATCCCTAGAGTCCTATGGACTGATCAAAGAAGTATGAGGACAGCTCAAGTCGTTAAGTCACCTTCTCATCTGAAACAAGGACAGCCCTGCTGTGGTTCAAGATGTGACATCAAGTTTTTGTAATAAAACTAGTCTTTCATGCCAGATTCTAACAGTGAGATCTTTTCATGAAAGGAACAACAGCAATGCTCCTGTCGTTTTTGACACACTAGCATTTCAGCTTCATTTTTCTTGGCTTCAAGTCCATTGTCAGCAAGTTAGTGTTTGCTTTACTAGTGTTGCTTAGTGCTATGTGGTGCTCCAGCAGCAGTGATGCAGCAAGTCAGGCCTTGATTTTAAATGTCTCAGGGCCTAATTTTTCGTGCACACAAATATGTTTGTTCATATGTATAATCTAATTGATCTCAGGTTTGGACTTTTAAACTATGTTCAGCACTCGAATTATAATTAGTAGTTATTTTGTTCAAAGCATCAGTTACAGTTATTGATAATTCATGTTATTAAGCCTAATGTTAAGTATTTACATTTGTTCAAACAGTCCAGGATAAACATTTCTAATAAATGTTAACGAACTCAATACAAATAAAATAAAGCTCAAACCTTTCTGAGATCATAGAATCATAGAATAGTTTGTGTTGGAAGGGTCCTTTAAAGATCATCTAGTCCAACCACCTGCAGTGAGCAGGAACAATCCCTATGTCTAATTGTAAATAAAGTCTTCTGTGTTGAATAATGAAGTCGTGTTTCTTTACTTCATATTTTGGTTGTGTTTTCTTGTCCTGGAGATTGATTTTATAATTTGATGAATAAATAAGCTTATGGCTAACCTTGTTATGTCATTGTACTCTGGCACATTACAGCTGCTTAGAAGTGCATATCACCTTTCCTGTTGCCACATAATATGTCATAAGTACCACTGACACACAACATTTATGCTCCGGTTTACAAGCAGGGGGAGACTTTGTGGGCAGAGCTGAGCATCAGCATGTCTAAACTGAAGCAATTCTAAAAAAATCCTAGGAAACCAAGCTAAGAGGAAGACCTATCTTCAACTCCCTTGAGCTGGAGGTGCTGGCAGCAGGGTGTAAGCACATCCAGCAGCACGTCACAACTGCCTTTGCCGGCTCTGCTGGCCTGTCAGGTTGGATGGGAGATGAGCCCAGCTACACTTGAGCTTCGCATTCCCCACCCACCCCAGGTCCTTATGGGTGAAAACCACTAATGAAAATCTGATCTGACCCAAGATCTAACAGCCCACATACTTACTCCCCAGAGCAGGTGTGCCAGCCCTTGATCTCTAACTGTAATTATGCTTTCAAAGCCTTTTTAAAACCTGTTCTTCCCACCTAGCCTAACAGTGTCTGTTAAAGTAATATAAACATGTTACTACACCCTGAAAAAGAAAGAAAATTGATGTTTTCTCTGTTCTTTAAAGTGTGAGAGTAGGCAAGGACTTGTTTTACTCATGGGTGTACACGTGAACAGTATTTAAAAAAATAAGAAATTTAATACCTAATAAAATATGTTTATAGCTTTTTTTTTTTTTTTTTTTTTTCCCCAATAGCCGTATAAAACCAAAAACCAGAGAGGCAAATGACTCACACTTACCAAATGCAAACTGCATTTATAAACAGATGCTATTAATTTTCTGTTCTTTGCCCCCACTTTACATACCAGATATCCCTGATGCTCTGTGGTTGCACCCTCTCCCAGCAGTACCCACAGGAGACAGGCACTTAAAGCCCACACAGCCTGCGCCGGGGTTGGGACCTTTCTCAGCTCTACTGTACAAGAAGAGAAACGAAATGCTTTGCAGTAGGCGCCACCCAAAGGGCATACAGTTTTTCACAAGTTCCCCTGCTTCATTTCAAAAACAATGCTGCCTGAAATTCGTTGTTGCTTCCTCGGCGAGTTGAAATTCCCAGAAATAATAGCTTTAAAAGTAGTGTGGGAAAAAACACATCCTAAGTGTGTGAGTGACAGATTGTCAGATACCAGCACTAAGACAGAAATTTTGATGCCCCTTAATATTCTGGAGTGTTTTGCTAAGGGCAGGGTTTCCCTTGAGTTCTGTGAACTGGTGTTTTAAAAAATATATGCTTGATGTAACCAGGCGCACCCATATTTTTCAGGATGCTGTTGCTGCCCAGCATCATTTGTGTAACACCAAGGATTTGTGGACAAATCAGGACTTACATATAGCCATGTGTGTGCTCTTTTATGTGACTTAGGTTTTGGATGCACCTTAAACACATTTGCATTTTCAATCCCATGTGAATATCTGCATGTAGGACTGGGAAAGTCCCATTTTAGCCTTTACTTTTTCCTTGTAATTTTTCCAAATGGAAAGCCCATATATGTGAGTGTTTCTAAAGGTAAATGTCTCCACCGATACTTTCTTTCATGACAGGAGCTGAAAAATGATTGGCAGCTCAAACCAGCAGCAGAAGGTACTGGAGGTGCAGGTACTTTTGGGTCTTGACATATAAATCCAGAGGTTTCCTGTGTTTTTACCACAAATGTGGAAACATATCCGTCTCTGTGCATTCACTGTACAGGTGTAGCTATTTATCTCTTTGCACTGGTCAAACACTGGGTCTGCTTTTTGAGATCAGAAGTTATCACTACAATTGATGCACATGAACACACACACAAAACACACACGTACACTGACTGTGATGTGGCAGCTGCATTTTATTCTGCAGT